GTGCATCCGCGCCTTCTCGGTGCTGGGCCCGCCCTCGATGTACTTGCCCGACAGCGAGCCGCCCGCCAGCGGGCTGTAGGCCAGCAGGCCCACGTTGCACTGCCGCGGAGCGCACACCTCTGCCAGGTCGGTCTCGTACCCGCCCCGCGTCAGCAGTGAGTACGAGTTCTGGATGCTGACCACGCGCGGCAGGCCCAGCTGCTCCGCCGCCTGCGGGTGGAGGGTGCGGGAGGGGCGCGGGGGCGGGAGGTGCCCAGGCCTGGCGTCGGCGGCTTGCAGGCCAGGCTGTGGGTGCCCAGCACGTGCCCACGCCTGCAAGCCTGGCTGCCCGTGCTCTGGCGAGGCCGCAGGGCCAGCAGGCTGCAGGCCCCTTTCCACCAGGACAGGACAGGCCCTCAAGCAAAAACACGCACCTGGATGAAGCGCATGACGCCGTAGCTGGTTTCGTTGGACACGCCGATGTGCCGCACCTTGCCCGCCTGCACCACCCGCTCCAGCCCCCGCAGCTGCTCCTCAAACGGGATGTCGCCCTCCCGCTCCTGGGCCGCGTTGTAAGACTGGGCGCCTGCATGCAGGCGCCACAGGCGGGCAGGAGGCAGCAGGGGTCACCCCGGGGTGAAATCAGCTAGGCCCCGCCTGTTCCAAGCACAAAGCAACCCTGCCGGCAGCATCCAAGCCCCGCCGCAGGCCCCAGCTGCTCACCGAACAGTGGCACATATCTGTCTGGCCAGTGGATCTGCAGCAGGTCCACATAGTCGGTGCCCAGCCGCTCCAGGCTCCTGTTCAGCGCATACTCGATGTTGTCCGCATCCACCCGCGGCAGCTTGCCGCCCTCCCGCAGGTACGGCTGCCGCCCATAGCCGCTGACCTGCAAGCGGCGGCAGTTGGGACACCCGGTGCATGCATCACCCTTGGGAAAGCTTCAACAACAGAGGTGTTCTGTTAGATGAACAGCAGGCAGTGACCGGCGCAAGCCCATGCTCCCAGCACCTTGGTTGCCAGCACCACATCCTCCCGCTTGGCCCCGCCTGCCTTGAGCCAGCTGCCGATGTAGCGCTCAGTCAGGCCCTGGGTCTCCGCGGCAGGAGGCACCGGGTCTGCACCGCGCAGGGGAGGGCCGAGGGTCGGCAGGGGCGGGCTGTCCAGCGGGCGGCCTCCCGCCATGGCTTGCCCCATGACAGCAGGGGCCTGTCCCCGTCGCCCCTGCTTGCCCTGCCCACCCGCTGCAGCGGCCCCAGCTGGCTCCCGGCAGGCGTGCTCACATATTTCGGCTGTGTCCATGAAGTTCAACCCAAACTCATTCCACGCGGCTGACAGCTGCTGGTGTGCCTCCTGAAGCGCAGCAGCACAGGGTGCGGCTCGACATCATGTCGGCAGTGTGCAGGGACAGTTGGAGGCGGGGACAGGTGGTGGCCAGGCGCCGCACCTGTTCCGTGTTTTGCATCCCCCAGGTCATCGTCCCCAGGCAGCAGCCTGCATGGCAACCGGCATTTGGAACGTGAGGGCAACCCAACTGGGATGGCCTTGCCGCCACTCTGCTGCCGTGCCGTTGAGTTGGCGCCGTCTGCCTGGCTCATGCATGACAGGCCAGCCACAGGTCTGCCTCACGTGAAACCATGAGGTCGGAGGAGCCTAGGCGCACGCGGTCTGCAGCCGACGTGGGCGCCTTGACGGCCTCCACGGCAGGGGCGGCGGCCGCCCGCACGCGCTGCTGGCGGCGGCTGCGCACGGGGGCCGCGGCCTGCATGGACTGGTGGCGCCCACTGGGTACCCTGCACAGCCCCATCGTCGCTACAGGAGCGGCAGCGGTGGCCATGGACACTACAGCCCCAATTGACATGTGGAACCCAGAAAGACCAGTGGAACTGCACTGGGGCGGAGCGGAGGAGATGGAACTTGCTCTAAGGCGTGCTGATCTGCACGTGGACTGGCACTAAACGGGCAATGCATTCCAGGGGCAGGACATGGGGCGTACTGCAGGAGGTGGGGGAGGGCCGGGTGGGGAGCCGCTTTCTGCAGAGCCGCGCCCCAACTCGTGGGAATCGTGATCGCCAGCCCTTGAACATCCCATCCCACCTGGAACAGCTGCCCTTGAAAACCGCCCCGCCCAGTGTCTTCTGCACCGTTGAGCGGCCCTTCTGTAGCAGCCAGGCTTCAGCGCTGTGAGGATGGCTTGCAGGCGGTAGCGCACGCCAGCCGACACCGCCCCAGTATGGCGAGTTCCCCACCCGCCGCGCCGGGGCTGGAGAGCCGCGTGAACGCGCCGGCCTTTGTGCCAGCGCCCCCAGGCCTCAGCAGCCCCACCGCAGCCGCCAGGGCCTTTGGCTCTAAGGGCAGCAGCGGCGGCGCGACGGCCGTGAATGCCTTGCCGTTTGTGCCGTCGGGAGCTGGGGCGGCAGGCGGCGGCGGCGGCGGCGGTGGTGGTTCGCTGGCCCACAGCGCAAGCGCCTCCAGCATCGCCTCTGGTGCAGTCCACGCCCCGATTTTCGTGCCAGGTACTGCGGCTGGCGGCATGCAGCTGCTTGGAAGTGAGGACTTGGCAGCCTGCTGTGCGCTTTGCAGTGCTGCTGGGCGCACCCCTGTTGACTGCCGGCCTGCAAGAGCCACAGGCAGACCCTGTCGAGCTGCTGGACGGCGCCGGTGTGCTGCAGGCGGCGGTGGCGGCGGCAGCGGC